TGAGATGGAAGTCTTCATTGAACATGAAATACAGTTTTACGAAATTAATCAAAAACTTAATTTTTGAAAATCTTGTTTACGTCACCGTCTTTTGATTGCTTTATGAAATTTAATAACTTCCAAGAGAAAGGGTGGAAGAATTCAATCAACATTGTTATGGAAATGAATGGAATTTATTTTTAGATTTATTCTTTGAAGAATAATCGCTTATGAACATACTATTTGAACAATATTTAGCGCCATGATGGTTTTGGAAATCTGTGTTATTTATTTAACATCGAATAAAATTTTACTTGTGGTATTTATTTTCTGTTTTACAGAATGGTTTTGGTCTTTGTATAATGCTGTAAATATCAATTTGTTGTTTCAATTTACTTTTTATCAGGCTTTTCCAGAGAAGTTTAGTATAATTACATGAATACCTATTTATTTATTATGACTGCTTGCTAGTTTTGTCATTTCAATGTAAGGCAAGTTAGATTTTCACTCTGTGTTTCCCGTTGGCCAAGTTTCATTTCTGAATTTATTTCCCGCCCCCCCCCAAAAAAAACATTAAAGAAATATTCTACAACTCTTCCTCTTTTTCTGTTTTAATTTTTAATGATTTTTTTTTTTTTTGTAAATTCATAGGTAAAAAAATCTTGAAAGCTAATTTTCAATATTCCGCCGTGAAATTGAAAGTTAAAAATAATTTAAGAATTCTTTCAGATTCTAAACCATCTGGAAAAATCTTTATTTCTATATTTACTGAGGCAAAGACCAGAATATCTATCGACCAGAACACTTTGATGGAAGCAACAAAAATCAGGATTCGAATAGGAATAAACGATTCTATTATTTATTTAATCATTTCACCCCAAGCAAGAAAATAAAGTCATTAAGACGTAAGGGGTTACCGAGTATGAGAGAATATGAGGAAATATATTATTATGGATAGAAAACAGGAATTAAGAAGACACGATAATGATTGACATCGCATTTAAACTTTTGTAGATCAAAGTTGTAAATAGGGAGCAAGAAGCCGAAAGAGATTTCCACAAGCGAGGCGTGCGAAAGTGTTGGCATAGAACTTACGGTTACATTTAGCCAATTCGACTGTAAAAAGCATGAGACCTTGCCGCCAATCTAGTACTGCACTTCATAAATTCTATGTACCAAAGAGGAAATTTCATTAGAACAATTACTACGAACGTATTTATAGAAAAGGCACAGGGATGCTACATTATGGCGGTGGGAAAGTGACTGAAGGCGAGAGGCGAAGTCAGGAACAACAACTGTTATTAGTGATACAGTGTAACCCGGATATAAGAGAGTTGTCGGTACCGGAGAAGAAGTCTCTTATATCAGGGTTTCTCTTATATCCGGGCTTGGTCTATTTTATATACATTAACACAGGCTCTAATTTGGTACCGGAGAAAATCTCTCTTATATCCGGGTTTCTCTTATAACCGGGTCTCTTATATCCGGGTTTCTCTTATATCCGGGTCTCTTATATCCGGGTTACACTGTAGGTTATATTCTACAGATTAATCGATTATATGAATTTTCACGCAAAACGGAGCTCTTCAGTCGAGATCAGGATTTCTTGCTGTACTCAATAACCTCAAAATTCTAATTCATTCAGTTTTTCTGTTCTTTTTCAAATGTATTTGGGACCGTTCCAAGTTCCTTAATTATGATGAGTAAAACAAACACAATTCTTTCATTTATGTTCATCTGAATTTGAATTTTTTTTTTCAGTTTTACCCCCGAATCCATGAATATTTTACACAAACGGTCGTTATTTCTTGTGCTTTATCGCGGAAACACTTGCTTGAAAAAAAAAAAAACAAACCAATTATACACAAATTGGTACACCCATTGCCTGTGAGACACTCACAGACTGGCTTATTTCCAAATAAAATAAGTAAATGTATTACCTTTTTTGGTATCAGACAGGAGGTTAAGAATGTCACCTTTCTTGCCTAAAATATGAAAACATACCGGAACAGATAATCCTTGGATACTGACCAGAAAATGGGGATCTCCGTAAACTGAAAAAAAACAAAAAAAACGAAACATTATTAGAAGTCGATAACAGATTTTTATTCGATAAAAAAAAACAATGCATTTGGATGAAAATTGTCATTACTCTATACATTATCGTTCATTTGTTAATCGGTTAGCTGATTGATGAAAAAACAGACATTTTGTAGGGAATCTGTGCATGTTTTAAAAGTCATGTTGACTTGTTGAAGTAAATGAAATGAAATAAAAAGAACAATAATCAAATTATTTCTTTTCTTGTTTTATTCATTCCTTGGGTATTTATCAAATGGAAACTGAGATAGCTCTAAACAAACTCGTTTCGATCGTTTTACTCTCCGGTCTTTATCAGATGTATATCGATCTGAGTAACCTACATTTATTTAATCTAAGCGGGTAGATTGTGTCTAGTTCTTATATATCGCCCGTTTCAAGTACACACTGCCCGGACCAAGGATTGAACTCACAATTATTATGTCACCAAAATCACGTACCAACGGTTTACTTCACTAGGTTATTGTCCCATCGTGAACTTGGAGCCTTAAACCTAACCTTCCTGCTGATTAGTGTTGCTACTGCTGCTAGTCATCCTTGCCTTTTGCTACCAGTGAGTCTTGGCTGTTACCGCTTCTACTGTTGAAGATTTGCTGTTATTTGTCTTTCTTTATTAAAGCCTCTCATATTGTATTTATTTCTATGTTAGGGCGACTAAGGAGATCCTCATAGCCTAGCGATAGGAAGATCGGAGAGCACAACGGCCGAAACGTTGTGTTAACAACAACAAAGACGAGGCCAATAGTCCGTATCTAAATAGTGTAAATAATGATAACTCCCCATCCCGGAAATTCTATACAGTCTTAGAAACTACCATAACGTAAGAGGAACAGCTACCGAAATTTGAAACGAGGCTGTGTCAGAAGACAATCATAATGGACACTTACCTCCACCACTTATAAATTCACTGTCAGATGTAACGTCATTGTTTTCGGACAAAACTGAAATGAGAGTTCGATTCGATAATCAATCGATGATGAAACACAATGGAAATTGTTAAATTGAAACCAATGAAATCGTTCGAAAGAAAAATAAATAAAAAATTAGAACTAGAACACTATGCTGAAAAGCGAAATTTAAAAAAACCTTATCAAATATTAACAAAGATTTTTTAATTACACCCTCAATTACTCTAATTATTAGGTTAGTCTGACAGAAGGCGACAGTAATGGCAATATTCATCGTCTCGTTATAAGAAAACATTCGACATTCGTTGACCCATCAGCTAATGCTACTTTTGGTTGAAATTTATAAAATCTTTTTATTAAAACAATATTTCAGAAAAATAAGTTTCTCAAGTCCACTGTTATCGCTCTTTCTAGTATTGATGGCAGGTTCCTTCCTAACCTTTTTGTTTGATGTTGTGTGAAACGTTAACATCTTGATTATGTCATTATTTTCTCTTCGAATTATATGACGCGTTCGGCGGAGGATGGCGTATTCAACAAAAGATCTAAAATTGCTTTTTTCACTGAAAATTATTCATTATATCATATCCAAGTATTTTACAAAAAAAAATAGATTCGAATACACAATATTTCAAGCTCAATTTAGGTTTATATTTCGTAACCATGCAATGAGATGAGGTAACATAAACCGTAGATTTGTCTGCGGCATATTATTACATTATTGTTACATAATTATAGTAAAATCATTAAGGTCTTTTGTCAAAAGCATTTTATTTTTGGTCGTATATTAATTTAAAATATTCCTTTTTACAGGCTTTATTTTTGAAATGGGATAAGATCATTCTAAATTTCTGAATTTCGCTATTGCCCATCAAAATGCCTGGAAGAAAGCGATCTAAAAACAATAATGGAAAAGACAGGAAACGTGTAAACAAAATAGCTCCAGTTTAGGAAACTTAGCATGCAGCCAAAGTATTCTAAAATACTGCTAATAACAAGAGAGTAAATGAAAAATACCTAACAACAAATCGAATATAGCATCAAAATTTATATTATTTTTATTTATATTATGCAACTAAATACATAATTGTCTGCAATGTTTCCGTAAAACTTGGTATTTCCTGTAATAAATTCTTAATAAATATTATTTTGTTATTATTTTACTTACAATTCCTTACGGCTAACCATGAAAGGAAATGTTGATCAAAACTGCCTAAAACCTTTAAGCCCGTATCGCCACAAAATTATCAAATTTTGACTATGCCCCTCCTCGCTGAACGCGACATTTGTACTATCCATTTTACATGTTGCTACTGTTGAAAGTCCTCATGTGATGTGGTTTCTGTTATTTGGTACAGTTCTTTGTTTGTGATTATGTAGCGCCAGTCGACGAGATTTGAAGATGGATGTTCCTCGGTAAGACCTACAGGATTCGTTCTTTCGAAGTCATTTTTAATCATTGATCTGAGTAAGCGATTGATTCCAGCCGACAATTTAGATAGTTCTGAACGGGTTTGGCGTTATGCATGATATCCATATAAAAGTATCGATCTGACAAGTCGAACTTTCGATATTGGCAAATTGATAAAAAAAATTAAACATTACGCTACGTCACATAAAATATGAAGCCACATTAATGGATGACTCAGAAAGAACCGTACTCATTCAGTCAGGTGCCATACGTGATACACAATTAGGCGATAATGTATATTTCGATACGTGACTGACGAGGCAGATTTTTTTCCCCGCAGTAGATTGCCATTTCTTTCTGCAGTACACCAGTTACCATCCAAGGCTATAGAACCCAGTCTGTCCTTCTATTTACCCAAAGCTGGGGGGGGGAGGATTCATACCTTTCCCAAGCACGTAAGTAAATGTAATGGATTCGACTGGAATTTGAACTCGGCTCTCCGATTTCTCAATCTGAGCCACTATCTTGTGCCTCCCTACAGCACTCATTACAATTAAAAATTGTCTACAAAATGCGTTTAACAACCACTGTACATCATTAGATACCATATTGAAAATAAATATCGTTGTTTTGTTTGTTTTTTTATCACTAAAAAAACGTAAGACTGCCATTAGGATGAGGAAGGTTTAACATATTTGAAAAATATGAAATTGCCATGGTCTAAAGCATGCACCTAAACATGTAAAATGTGTATTTTCCAATTTGAAATGGAGACGAGATGCTTGCCATGAAGTTCCGTGTGTCTTCATGAAATTTGACGACTGGCTACAGTTAGCAAAAGAGAAATTTGCAAAAGAGAAATTTGCAAAAGAAGGAAAGAAAGAAAGAAAAAAAAATAAGAGTCTGGCCAATAACTGTCCACACACCGACAAATTGAGGTTCGCTTTTTGATTTGATATCAATCGTGTTAGAATTATCTGAAGACTCTCACCATAATCCTCGGTTCTTGTGGCCGGGGCGGGCGTGCTTCTTACACCTGACGAGTCTTCGTCGCTGGAGCTTTTCGTTGTTTCCGGCTTCTCTTTCGGCTTCACGATCAACATGGAGGTCACTGGAGTGACAAACTTGTACTAAAACCAACAAGCAAAACTTCAATGTATAGATTAGTCAAACATTTACTTGTATTTACATGAAAAGGACAAGTTTCCATCCAACCACCACCAACTGACTTGGTATTAGCTTCAGATGAGAATTAAGATTTAAACAACTTTAAGTGTTATGGAAATTTGACGTATTTAGAATGTAACATTTCTGATTTTTTTATTCGGAAGTAAGAAACAAAAAAAAGATATATTGAACAATCCACCAAAAGTATGTATTTTTCTAGTTTTGTAAAAATTCTGTCTTTATTTTGCTTTTTTTTTTCTCTCACTCTTGCAATCTGTATGTGCGTGTGTGTGTGCCTTATCCTATACTTTATAGTCTCTCACCATGCATCAATCTCTCTCTATTCATATCTATCTATGTATCTTATGTCTATTCATATCTATCTATCTATCTATCTCTCTATCTATCTATCTATCTTTCTATCTATGCCTATTTATATCTATCTATCGATGTCTATTTATATCTATCTATCTATCTATGTATCTATGCCTATTCATATCTATCTATCTATGCCTATTCAAATCTATCTATGCATCTCTCTATCTCTATTCATATATATCTATGTCCATTTATATCTATCTATGTCTATTCATATCTATCTATCTATGTATATTCATATCTATATTTATTGATCATATATTGTTAAGCTTATTACAATCTGACGAACTCGAGTATCTTTTAAAAAATTTTGAATTATTTTTTGTGTGTATAAACGTGGCAAATTTTGTAGATACGGGCGCCCATACCCGACATTTTCAGAAAATACGAGCGATGACTATAGTAAATATAAACTTCAATAAAATATACAGAGAATATTTTCTTAAATTTTTAAGATTACTGAATACTTAAAAGGCGCTCGCTTTATATTCTTCAATTATTTTTTACGGGTAAAGCCGCAGTAGAATAACATTAGATAAAAAATTGTATCTGTCATCGAGCTATAACGGAGCTGTTAGAAAGCTGTCAACATAAATAAAAACCTAGCGACGTGTTAAAAACATGTATTTTTTGCGACACTTTAAAGTTAAAGCAAGTAATAGTTGTTTCAAATCAAATTACTTAAACTTAAATCAGTTAATATTCCTCAAATAAAGTTTAATTTTTTAATATTTTTAATAATCTGCTAAAAATTGCGTGAAATTCAAATTTTTTTTTTTTAAATTTCAGAACGAAAACTCCATCCACCAAAACAATTTAAATTAGCATAGTATAGTATTTTGCTTATTGGAAAGAGCTTAAAATTAAAACTAAAATAAAAGCTTCAGGAAAGACTTTTCCTTTTTAAAATTCACTTTAAACCTTAGTTATTACGAATCTGAGGAGGCACCTATATATATATATATATATATATATATATATATATATATATATATATATATATATATATAAAAACAAAATGACAACCCCAAATTCCATCAATGTTTTCGTTTAATCCTTCTACTTTTCGCGACTAAGCACGAAGTGAAATGATTAGAGGGAGATAACTCTTACAACTTATTAATCTGAGATTTTATCACTTTAATAGATAAGACGATGAACGATAATTTATAGTTTCCCTTTTCTAACGAGATAATTACATGAAAGATAACGAAATATTTTATGCGCAAAAATACTTTAATTATGATATATTATAATGATCTTTAATTTTTTTCAAAAGAAATGACAATAATGTTGTATCAAAAATAAAATGCATATAAGCTTTCTTTCACGCATTACAGATCGATATGATTAATACACCGAGATAGAATATTCGCTACATTTCGTACAGGGATTTATCGCAACATTTCAGGCTCGGAAAAGAACCGATATACCAGTATTTCGACTTTCTTTCAAAAGTAGTTTCTAAAGGAGCCGAATATGTATATCTTGAAGCATAGCCACCTCTCTGCAGGATCTTTTCTCCGGAATAAACAAGTCGTATCTTGCTGAAACTGTCGTCTGTTCTGGGATGTATGAAAAGATCGATTCTGTCAATAAGTTATTGTTTGCTTTTTGCTATTTTCACTTCAGTCAAGGTGCCGCAACGAAATTAATGAGAGAGACTTGAGGTTAAAGGGCAAAAACTAAGAAAAAATTATCTTATTTCAGACGAAGCTCACAAGTAACAACTGGACCTCACCCACAAGAGACCAATAGGCAAAGACAATGAGTTCACGTTAATTCTGTCTATATACGAACGTTTCGCCTAATAAAGAAACGGAGATTTATCCAACCCAAACAAATCGCCTCTCGATTTGGAAATCTATTTAAAAGTAGAAATTGACCAACGTCTAATCATTTAGAGTCTCCTTTTCCTTGCTCTTTATTTCTTCTTTCCTAAAAATGTATGAAAGCAGATATTACTTTATATATCAATTAGTATGTCGATTAATTTTTCAAATATTTCTAACGTATAAAATGTGTTTTAAATAATTCTAAAAGATAATACCAATAGGCAAAATTTTTGCATACAATATTTACTAAGCAAATCTATGTAAATAAATCCAATTTCTTATATATGCAGTTGTTCATGTGTAAAATATATACAAAATATACATAAAATATATATCAAATATACATATACACATATATAAAATATACATAACCATACAGTGTTGCGCAAAAATAAGTGAACCCCTGAGATATTAAAATAATTGTCTCTTTATTTCAGATGCTCAACAAATCTTAATTAAGCTATATATTCATTAAGAAAAACCTTTATTAAACGATTTACAATCAATTTCAAAGATTTTAACAAGTCAGAATAAAAATACAAATAAAAATTTAAAAGGGTGAAAGAGAAAGTTAACCTTTGCATTTACACCCTGTATTTTTGTTTTACATGGTAGTCAGGGCCAATAATCTTTTGTGCACATGACACGTGTTCTCTTTTTTTTTCTTTGGTAAACTCTGTATACTGCAGTCAAACAATATAATTTATTGTGTACGCAAAAGTGTGCAGTCAGTCACTAAATTTTAAAAAACATATATGCAAGGATCAAAAGAACTTCCATTGTGCAACAAATTATTTATAAATTGAAGGCCTTTGCTATGACGGTTTCACAATCAAGAAGTGGCCGTCCACGAAAAATAACAGCAAGAGCAAGTAGACATCATGTTCGGCAAAACCAGGCAAATCCTGCTGTGATTTTTGTGGTTCTCCAATACACACTGGCCAATGTTGAAATCAATGTGGATGCATCTACAGTGCGACGATATCTGAACAATGCCTATCCTCAAGACAGAATACCTAGAAAAGGCTACTGCTTACGAAATAGCACAAATATGTTCGCCTCAACTATGTCAAACCTCATATTAATGAGCTAGAAACATTCAGGCAAAAGGTTTTATGGTCAGATGAGACCAAACTAGAGCATTTTGGGAGGAATAAGAGGTAGTATATCTGCCGAGCTCCTAATACGGCTTTTGAAGAGAAGAATTTGATACCAACCATTAAACATGGCGGTGACAGCATTATGATTTGGGAGTACTTTACTGCAGCTAGAACAGGCAAAATAGTACGCTTCGATGGCACAATGGACTCTGCAAGATACCAAACAATTTTGAACGAAAGTTTCTTGTCCTCAATTCAAATGTTTGGTTTATGTCGGGGCTGTATCCTCCAACAGGACAATGAACTGAAACATCAAAGCAAATCCACAAAAAAATGGGTTCGCAAAAAGAAAATTTAAGTCTTGGAACAGCCTAGTCAAAGTCCTGATCTAAACCCAATTGAAAATCTGTGATTCAAACGAAAGAAGGTAGTGCATGCAAGAAACCCAGGTAATATCGAGTAATTGTGTTTTGCCAAGAATAATTGTAAAAAATAGGCAGTCACTACTGTCAAAAACTTCTTAAAAATTATAGAAAAAAACTGGTTGACATTGTCACTTCAAAAGGAGCAGTCACCAAATTTTAAATGTAAGTGTTCGATTACTTTTGCACATCTTAAGTTTAATTAATATTTATATTCCAGCTGGATAATAAATTTTGAAAGTGGTTGCAATTTATTTAATAAAGGGTTTTCTTAATGAATATAGAGTTTAATTAAGATTTGTTGATTATCTGGAAAAAAGAGACATTTTTTAAAAATATTATCTGAGGAGTTCACTTACTTTTTACACAGCACTGTATATATAAAATATATATAAAATATACATAAAATATATATGAAATATATACAATATGTATAAAATATATAAAAAATATACATAACATATATAAAAATATATATAAAATAAACATAAAATATATATGAAATATGCATCAAATATACGTAAAATATATATCGAATATACATAATATATATATGAATATATATAAAATATACATAAAATATATATGAAATATGCATCAAATATACGTAAAATATATATCGAATATACATAATATATATATGAATATATATAAAATATACATAATATATATAAAATATACATAAATATATATATATAATATACATAAAATATACATGAAATATATAGAATATACATAAAATATATGAAATATATATAAAATATATATGAAACAAAATATACATAAAATATATATAAAATATACATAACATATATGTAAAATATACATGAATATATATTAAATATACATAAAATATACATAAAACATATAAAATATACATAAAATATATATGAAATATATATAAATATATATAAAATATATAAAAATATATATAAAATATATATAAAATATACATAAAATGTATATGATATATACATAAAATATATATAAAAATAATTAAAGTATACATAAAACATGTCCTTTTGTCTCTTCCCCTTGTTTCCCGGAAAAAATGAATATAATTTTTATGATGATTCCCTCTTTAGAAAACTTGCATCTTTCAGCCTTAACTTAATTAAAGTTTCAAAGTTTATTTTAATTGCAGAAATATTTATCTGTTTTATTGTGAGATTTGAAAAGAGAGAGATTAAGAATAAATACTTTGCAATTCAAAAACAAAATCCAATCGGCAATCACTTTTACGATTTCCGTCGATAAATTACCCAAGGCGTATGAATCTTACCGTTCAGTTAATAAAAAAAGTCTTCGACTTAAGAAAACTAGTATCTTCATTTTTGTTGTTTCTAATACGAAGTTTCGCCTAACCTTCTTCAGGTCTATATCGCATCCGATAACTCTAATTAGAATTCCTTCTTCTACCCAAAATGTTACTTTTTTATTTTATTTCATTTCTTTTTCTTTTTTTACTTATCTTTTTAGTTTTTTTTTTCTATAGTGTCCTCTACAAATAATCAACAGATCCAAATTACTAAGAATTTGGACAACAATTATTTTAGTTACGGCCATATCACGTTGAAACATCGGTTCTTGTTCGATCACCGAATTTAAGAATCATTGAGCCTGGTCAGTACTCAGATGGGTGACTGCTGGGGAATACCAAACTCTATAAGCTACACGACAGGAATGGCAAGCCGACGATGGATACAATCTTGCAACTTATACTAACAAAATCCTCGACAGGTGGAGGTCCTTGCGTGCTGACAGATCACAAAACCTATCTGGAGTTGGTTGAGAGTGGTTATAATTACTTTTTTATTAAATGTTTACGAGATAATTACTTTTGATCGAATATACCTGATATCTGAGGAAAGACAAAAACACACCATCCTAAATATAGTAATTAAAACATTTTAAGATAAGGATAATCGTCTGAGTAATTCATGGCATAACGCACACTTACGCTAGCAGAAAAAATGTTATTGTCAAACTTTAAGCAAAACAAATAAAAAACGGATTTTCTTGTATGAGATAATTGGAACGCTAATTTAGAAAGACCAAAACAAAAATGAATGACTTACCTTTACCGACAATTCCAACATACGCTTGGATAATTTTTTTTTTTCGACTGGGTCGCTGGAAGCTATTCGTTGGTCTTGCAACTGTTTGATGGTCAAGTAGGCCCACAATTTTTCGGGTATTGCCTGGATGTCTGCGTCGGTCATTAAGCCAATACCGTAGCTGGAGTTTTGAATATCAATCGACGTTACAGGATCAATATTTCCCAGGGAACCTTTATTCGTGTTGCCATCAACTTTCAAAGTAACATCAGAAGAATTATCCGAGAGTTTGCCGGCAATAACCACCTCTGTTCCGTTGTAATAATTCTGAAACCTTCTATTTGTTAATGTCGTATTATCTACCTGGAAAAAATAAATTTAAAAAAAAAAGATTTTATCACTTATCGATTATAAAATCAATTAATTTTGATTGGGTCAATGATGAAAATAAGATTAACTGTCGTTTGTTTTTTTGTTGTTGTTGTTGTTTTTGTTTTTTGTTTTTGTTTTTTGTTTGTTTGTTTGTTACTCTGTGTTTGCACATAACAATCCATGCCTTTCTTTCCTTTTTAAACTCTAGTGTGCACAAAGTATAGATGAGATAGTATTAGCAAAAAGCTTCGATTAAAAGTATACAACGCGATAGTCAAACTAGTTTTGACACAAATTTGTTCCACGTAGGGTCAGGCAAAGAAAGATGAAGAATATCTTGAATCATTCCATCGGAAACTGCTAAAACATTTAATCGGCAAAGGATAATCCAACATAATCTCAAATTCCATTTTGTACAAAGGATGTTGTAGTGAGTGCGAAATAATAACTCCTTTCAGCCACTCTCTTCACATTCGAAGAATTAAGGAAAAAGAAGGAAAGGAATTCACGAGCCTATGTAAAATTGTTTTAGGATCAATGAAAAAATTTCCTTCACAGAAATTAATCCATGGGTGCGTGGCCGAGTGGTTAGCACTTTATACATATATATATATATATATATATATATATATATATATATATATAATTATTTTTTTTAAAAAATAATTATATCTGCTCTACTTTGTATTGAGCACTCTTTTTAAGAATAGTAATTGTTGGTTATTGGAATTCATTCCGTATATACCAATTATATACTTGTATATATATATT